GCCGCGGCAGCGCGCACTTCACACGTGTAACGCGCACATTGCTCTTAACTTGAAGCATAGATTCCTGAGAACTTTAAGCTCATCCTCCTGATAACACTGAGAGTTCGGATGAATAGATGGGGGCTGAGTGTATCGCCTCAATATTATATACAGCAAGCTGCCTCCCGAGTCCACACTGGATGGAGAACTGAAGTATAAGCACATGGGCTTATTTCAGTCCTCTTCTATCTGCTAACAGAGAGATCAGTGCCTTTTGTTGTGGATTTGAGTTGCTGCTTTGAGCTGTGAGGAAGGCCACTCCGCTCCCCAGGCTGCTGTGACTCGCAGCCACCCTGCTAAGCTGCTCACCCCAGCCCTCCAGCTAAGCCAGCTGTAAATAAAAACAGCTAGGATTATTTTTTTCCCCCTAATAACTTTGACAATGCACCTCACAGCTTTCTAGTGATCAACTTTGAAGTCATCTTGAATTTCTGCAGGATTTTCTCCTGTGTCAGTTTTCTTGTTTTTTTAAGCAAATTAAGCAGATACAGGATTGGGTGTGACGCTAAGCTGTCAGCACTTGAACCAGAGACAATGTCTCCGTTTATCCCCATGACAGAGAAAAGCACAGTTCAGGCTACCGCCTCCAAAGTCTTTATCACACTGTTTTTACAGATATGTGAGTCTGTTAGTAGTAGCACTTCCCATAGGCACAGTCAGTATAGACTCATAGTGACATCATATTGCAGTTTGACCAAAAAAAAAAAAGAACAAAAGTTCCAGTGAGCATACCAGCAGGATTTTTCCTTTAAGGAAATACAGTTTTATGGGCTCTAAAGGCAAAATGGCTGCTCTGTACTTGAAAGCTGGAAGCAACTGGGCAAGCCACAGTCTACTAACTGTTACAGGACATGTCTGTTATTTGAAGTGCTTTGAACCTGTGTTGCTAGGAATAGAGTGCATGGCTAAGTGATGAGACCTGTGCAGCACACGAGGGGGAGCAGAACAGCACAGTGGGTTAATGTGGCCTTTCCATGTGGGAAATCGTCTCTCACCTGGGTTGAAATTGTGAGCAGATGACAGATCAACCCAAGTTTGCTGTGTGGCTCATTGCAGGGCCCCAGGGACATCTCTCAGCCTTACACAACCTATTTCACAGCACATGGCCCCACTGGCAGACAGTGCAGGACAGGATCGACACAAGGTGTCAGTGACCACATATGCATTGGCAGAGCCATGCTGAAGCTGCAAGGCTGGAATAGTCAAGCCAGTTCCTCAGAAGAATAATGCATAGCCATCTCTACCCATTGCTAAACAAAACTCTTCATCTCACTGTCACACACAATAGGTTTTTATCCAAATTGTTCTTAAAAGCTCTGTTAGAAATAATTCAAGTGGCCCGAATGAATGTATAGTCCCAAGGATTACAGAAAGGAAATTATTTTCTACTTAATCAACATATGTTGTCTTTTATATTTTGCATATACACTGTGCAAAGTAATTAAAATAAAACCATAAAAGCTGAAATCCATCAAGACCTGACTGAACACAAAGAACTCACCCTGCTTTAGCTGTATTTAAGTACTATCATAATTGAAGAACAATTGCTTGGTGTGGGCACTATTATATTGGAAGAAATATGTGTGTGATATGAAAAGGAATAAGAGGCACCTTTAGAAATGAAAACCAGGATAAACACAATACTAGAGAGACACAAGTGGAAGTATTTGCTCTGTCACGGATTACTTTTGGCAGGTTTAGCCATCTCCCTGGATAGGTATATGCTATTTGGAAAGGTTTCTGTATGAAGCGACTCAAATGCAGTGTATGCCACCCCTCCCAGTCCTCCCCCAGCCAGCCTAGGCCGGTTCACAGGGTCCCCCAGCACAGATCTATACCCCAAAGCCCTGGCTCCCTGTGAGCTTCTAGGTAGCAGGGGGCAAAGGCACATCTCCATCAAGCTCGTTTCTACAGCTTTTACATCTTCCAGCACAGCACCTCACTGTATCCGTGAACTGTGCAATGACAAATACATTTACAGACTGGTGCTTTCATATAAAGTGGTAAAGGGACAAAATATAAGATGCTTAGCTGGAGAAAACCACAACCTTACTATTATCTGTGTCAACATAAGTACATTCAAACAAAAGTCGCCTCTTTCCTCCAGCTAACATGTAACAGCAATACAAAGTGCACAGATCATGCCACAATAAATTGCAAAGTAAATTACAGTGACAAAATAAACCATGCTGAGAAGGGACCTTTATGAGCATCAGATAGTTCTGAATAAATAAATTTTTAGCGAAATGAGACAAACTGAATGTCAGAGCAATTTCCACAGGGTTCAGTTCAGCTGCTTTTAAATGTTGTACTTCTATTTCTGTTCAGTTTTGCATTCTGAAGCTTCTGTGTATGCTTGCACAGGGAATATTCCCCTTGTACATTTTGGTTATAAATAATGGGTACTGACTGGACTTTAAATCTTTTCTATTTCCAGAACTGAGGCGTGAGGCTCCATAAGTGCCCCCAAGTGGCTTCAATTTCTGTCCTCAACAAAAGACACCTAGGGAAATGCAAGAATGCCTGTTGTAGAAAAAAACATGCAGAAGAAAGAGAAAGATACACGCAGTAAAGATGAGACAGTAAGTGTTTCCGGGAAGACAAAAATAAATAAATAATTTTTAAAAAGAGAAGATGACTTAACAACTTTTAATGCTGTAAATTAATGTTAATTGATATAATAATTGTAACCCAAACTCTGTTCCAGAGCCAATTTCTTAATTTCAGGGAACACTAGTTATGCTGTAACAGTTTATAATTAGGAACTCTGATCTAACACTAGTGCTTCTCATATCCATATACACTGTTTCTCCCAATATCCTGTGAAGAATTCCAATAAGTGAAATATTGTTATACAACAGCAGATGCATTACTACACAGTCAGAGATGGCATGTAATTATTTCTTAATAGTACGGAACTATCAAACTATCACATATGATTAATTTTCAAGCTGGTTTAGAAGATGCCAGATGTGTATGCCTTGGGTTAGTCAACCCCTTGGGTTTAAAGCTTTTTTCCCTAAGCAGAGTCATGAATTGTACAGTAACCTTACCCAGAAAGATTGGGCCAAAGCCAGGTATCAAAAAGAAATACTATTTAGCACTTCTGCTTCCATTGACCAAGAAATCAGTGACAGAAGAAATATGTCTTGACTAAACATAGCTTGAAACTGTAGAATTGCCATTCTTTTATTTCTGAGATCCAGAATGCATTACAGGCTAAAGTGGATTTTCATTTCCGTTAATCACAGGCACTTTTTAGGAGTATCTAAAGTCTTTGGTTTCTAGATAGGGAAACATAATGCAGCACTGACTTTTCTGTGGATGTCAAAAGGCAGAACTAGTATTTGAGCTCAGAGGACACCCAGTCCCTGCCTGCTGTTCAGAGCACTTCCTCCACCCCCTCCCTCCCTGCATACACTAGCAAAGGAGTTTGCAGCTAGATTTGCCCTGAGCAGCAGGTGGGACAAGGTGACTGCTAGTCCTTTCTTCCAACCAAAATCACACTACGGTCCTGCAATCCTGTGAAAATGAATGTCTATTACATCGAGAGCTAGTCAGAAAATCTGAAATTTGCCTTCTTTAAGAGACAGGCAAAAATCAAATTAGAATAATAAACCCTCCGAAAGTTTATGGCCTAATCACTAATGGACAAGCATAGCTGCATTAGATGACCATTTCTCAACTGGGAAACACAGCCACCTCTCTGAGGAACCATGCTTAGAGCATCACAGCCGCTTGCAATTTGCCAGTCTTTCATGAATTACCTCCTTACTTGATTTTCCCACTGCCTCCATAATTTCTCTGGCTTTTAAATGACTAATTACACTTCACTTGGTTAATTCTACATTAAAAAACAAAGGAAATGTAATAGCATGGACAGCATGAGATTCTTTTCTTCCCAGATACTATTGTTTCAAAAAGGCTAAGGATAAAGCAAGTATAAACAGATACATTTTATCAATCCTTCTAGGTGGGTTCCAGACTGACTTACAGCAGAGGTTTGGCAGGGTAAAACACAGGTTTATTGAGGACTGTATATAGTCAGTACTAATAAACAGGTAGATCTGCATGTTTTCTATTTCTGTAATTTTATAACCACTCATGTTACCAGTCAGAAAGGTATTAACACATGATTTTACTAATCACAATGCACTTCTTTATTAATGAAATACCTTCTCTTAAGGCATTGTTTTATTAGACTGTATCGTATTTGCAGATTTCCTAGACTCTAGCTCAGACTCTATACTTCCATCATGACTGCTTGTCCTAGGATTTCTAGAGTTTTTATCAAGGAATATTCTCCTTGGTAATTTTCCACTAGTCTTCTGGTCTATCCATTTGAAAGCCTACAGATAGACTTACTGGAGAGCACATTTGCAGTAATCAGGCCTCTCAACTGCTAAACCAGAATAAATTAATTAAGAAAGGGATGCAACATATTTATCAGCAACAGAAGTTAAAAAAAAGAGAAAGAGAACCATTTAGGAACACATAGAATTACTTGCTAACATATATATATATTTTAATGACTAGGCAGTGCCAAAACTTCCAGTTCCACCACTGCAGCAGACCTTACGCATGTACCTACAGTGTATGAAACACTTGGTGCCAGAGGAGCAGTTTAAAAAGACAAAGGTCATCGTGGAACAGTTTGGAATTTCAGGAGGCCTGGGGGAATCCTTGCAGCAAATGCTTGAAGAAAGAAGGGAAAAGACAACAAATTGGGTAAGCAAATGCAGATGAGAAGAACGCGTTGGCTGATGCTCATTTGCAAACTTTTCTTCATGTTCTGTATGGGATCACTGTTTTCTTTCAGCAGGTCAATGCAAACAGGGTCACATTAGGTTCTGATAAAGGGAATTAATATTTCAGGCATATTAGGCTAGATTTTTCTAACAAAGGCAAAATCTGTGTCATTATTATGTTTTCAGATCAACAGTTTGCTGACATAAATGAGGACATTCATGCTCCTCAGGCTCATGCACAGAGGAGTCAGCCATACCTGTAAGAAGCACTATATTCCATCCAAAAAGGATGGAATTTCTTCCTTTCCCCTTAATAACAGGATTTAGAATATTTATTAAGATGAAAAATGCTTTCTGATAGGGCTGTAGAAAGTGCTTTGCATACCCATCTACCCAAAGCTCTGATCCACTTAAATTATTCTAGAATAGAATACTTTATGATGGGAATTACTCTTTTAAAACTTGTCACACTATACCAATGTAGTTACCCCGAAGTATTTACTTTGCCAAATGTACACATACATGTATACCTATATATCTATTGCATAGAGCATGCTGAGACCTCGGCCTTTAAAAAAGTCCAGCTTTCTGCTTCCCAAGGCAGGAAAATTAAGTAAGCCATAGCTAAAGCAGATCTTATCGTTCCACAAAGTCACAGTTCATCCTGCCTGCATTAACCATATTAGGATATGGCAGCTGAAAGCTAGAATTTTATCGAAGACCTTCCATCCCAGCAAGGAAAATGGTTTCATGGATTCAGTGAAAACCTGCAGGCTTGCTACCGATACCAGAGAATTGTGGTTCTCCCTTTATTTTTCAGTCGTGTGACCTGCAAGAAAACTCTGTCAAATTGCTGCTATAGTCATGAAAAAGGGCTACAGTAGTGGCAATGCTTTTATTGTAAAAGCAGTGCTTAATTTCTGAACTAACAGGAATGCTGTCCAGTCTTATTTTGTTAATATGATCACAGAACTTCATAGTTTTGTTGGCTAAATCATTTAAATAGTGTTCCTGATAGCAAATAGTGTTCCAGGAGACAACTGCTCATTTAACTACTTATAGCATGAAAACTACAGAGCAAGGATGAATAACATTTTCTGAAAAAGTGTCAGTTTTAAATACTGGTTGGTAAAGTTAAATACCTGATTCTTAAGATAAAATAGAAATGGTTTTATTTGGAATTTAACTTGCCAGGAGTGTAGCTCCTGCATGTTCTCCTGAAGACTCCAGAGACTGTGGGGGAAGCATCTGTTCTAACAGCAATGAAATATCTCGGAGGAAAACTTTTTCAACTGATGCATGCATTTGTAATTATTTTTGCATAATTTCCTTGTTGTTTATAGTTACCATATGCAAAGCATACCTGCTCAGAAAGACCATTTGATCTTTTTATGAAAGCCTCCATTTTCCAAATAATGGTTCTTCAATCTCTGCTCAGACATAAATGAATGCAGTTACTGTACATCTGTGTTTTCAATAAAAATGGTTAGAAATTTAATAAGTGTGTCTGTCTGGGTCAAGCATCAGCAATCTGCATTTGTGTCAGTGGACACGGAGGGAATTCCCCAGGGACCCTATCCACATGCCAGTATCTGCAGGACTGAACCATTTGGCTTGTGAAATTCTTTTCCCACTCTGTCTTGCTACAGGACAGTATCTGATGGCTAACAATAGAGCATCTTGGCATCACTGACAAATATTTGAAGCCCCCTAAGGAAAGCCGTTACTAGTAAAATTCTATGCATCTCTTAAATATATCCTAATCACTATGCAAGAGTTAACATATTGTAGTCAAACATATTTTGGTTGTAGAGGGAAGCAAACAACAAAATACCCTAAGCACCACAATATGGAGCTTGTTTACTTTTTAATGGAACACACTGTAAATTGCCATTGATTAAAAAATAGGATTATGGAATTGCAGCTGACTTCAGCTGAGCTGAGGTCACAGAGCCTAGACTGAAAATGCTCAGCAGCTCCATTAATCAGAGCCCATGCCTGACACCAGGAGCACCAAGCACTCTCCCCTCACCCCCAGGCTGCCTTTCCACATGCTGTTTGTAGCTTTAAGATTTCATGTCCCCTTCCTTTAGGTGTTTAACTTCTGGCTGGATGACATGTACCTCAACAACCGGCTAGCTCTTCCAGTCAATTCCAGCCCAGCAATTATCTTTGCTCATCAGTATTTCAAGGACGTAAATGACCAGCTGAGGTAATGTACTACGACTTTGCAGCTTTTGCTAAATGAAAGGATATTTTTAATGTACTGCTTTTGCAAAAAGACAATCAACTATCATTAAAAAATAACCATTAAATGATTTCCTACTAGATCTGCTGACTGGGGACAGTGCTTCTGGGGTTACTTATAACGATATTCAGAAAGGAAAATGTCATTGCTATTATATTTATTGCATGGAAAAAAATGCTGTGAGATTTATATTTAAAGGTTATTTGCAAAGTTTTTAATTTTATATAATTCAAGTAAACCTCTTTGTGATAAAAAAATACTAATTTCTGACACATAGTTTGAAGAAAAATAATCTTTAACATGCCATCACTATGACTTGTAGCCACCCTGCAAACTGAAAAGGCCATGCTGGCATTAAACTGTCCCTCTCAGGTGCCCAAAAGGGCACAAGAAACACAGGGGATCTAGGATTAAGAATTCAGAAATCATCCTTCCCCAATGACACTGCTTCCTTCAGGCCCATCATTCCCAGCACTGAACTGAGCTTTCTCCTTTGAGCTGTTGTGAGCAATTACTATAATTTAAAAAGTGAAAAGGTAAGCATGTAGCCAAGCACAGAATATACCTCTCCAGACACCCTTAAAACAGGATTCCATTCTTCAGCCTTTGCCAAAACATTTGCTCCTTTTAAAACAGTAAAACAGATCAAATCTACCTTCATAGTGCAATTTTCCTCCTTGCTTTCAGCACTCTCTAGCTGCTCATTACTGAAATAATTAACTGCATGTGAATTTACACCATTATAAACCAGCCAGAGCCTCGAAGCTGATACGCATTATTTTAACATTTTGCCTAGACAGCTAATGCATCTTTTTACGTTACTTTAAACATAACTATAAATGCTTCCATTCATTACTGACTAAATTTATAGTGCACACAGCTTTAAAAAACCTCCACTTTGTACTTTCTAATGCACGTGCTTTAACAAAGAAATATTTTCTCAGAGCCTCCCATTCCAACACAGTGCAAATGGACAGTGTCAGGAAATAATACACCTGTCCACAGCTCTGCAGAAAGAATATCTGCTTAGGACAGGAAGTACTCTAATAAATTGGACAGCTTATGAGTATTGATATTGAAACCCATGTAAAGGATTCTATTAAATATTCAGCCTCTGCTCCTATTCTCTAAATAAATGTTTTCAGGCTTCCTCCTGTGATAGTCTGTTTAACCATTTGAAGGGACTGTCTCTAGGATTTCATATTCCTCTTGACATGAATTAATTTAGGTTTTGGGTGGGGGCAGGGAACTCTTCTTGCCAAGCCAGAAGACTTTTCTCTCCTTATGCTGTGTCATCAATCATTCAGGCTCTCCTCTGTCTCTCAGAAACAGCCCAGTGTTGCCAAAAGACAAAAGACTGATGTCACTTCTATCTGCTACTTGCAGGTTTGCCGCCAATCTCATTTCAGGAGTGCAAGACTACAAAGCTTTACTGGACACGTAAGTAGCTTGGAAGGAGAGCTGCTGCTTGAGTGTCCACATGGCTTCTGTTTCAAGGGTGCTCTCACCTGCTCAAAGTTGGGCTGCATTGCACCTCTGCACCATTTGGAAGGGCTGGGGCTCCAGCATGCTTCAGGGCAAGTGCTTTAGCAATTTTTTATGCGTTTTCTTCTATACTACTGCAATGTAACAGCTCGAAGAAGGATCCCTTTTGAAGGCTAGCAGTCATCACTCTAGCAGGTGCAGTGTAGCCCAAAAGGACACACACAGTATGCCTAACAGAGTTACTGAGAACATACAAGGAAGTCTGTGCTCTCCACACCCAAAAAGCAGCAGCATTGTGGTTACACAGCCTGCAAACCTTTCCTGGAACCCTCCAGCTGCCAGGGTGCTGCACCCCCTCCATGTACTGCACCCTCCATTAAAAATACCATCCCCCTGCCTCCCTCCATCCCGAAAAGAGCTAATACATCCCAGCAGGGGAAGGAAGCCTCACCACAGACAGGCTGGCTCAGGAGCTAGGAAAAATAAGCTATTTATGCCATTGTTACTTTCTGTATGTAAACACAGGGCAAATACATGATTCTTCAAGTCATGTATGAGGTAGCTCACAACAGCATTTTACATAGCACTTGTTAACCTCACCTAGTATGTTCCAAGTTTACTGCTGAAACCACTGCTCCCTGAAGAATAGAAAGAGTGGAAAGCCAAGCACAACAGACACAACACCATAGTAGGGAAGGGATCATTTTCTTATATGGAAATACAAGATATACTTTAACCAATACTCATTTGGATGAGGAAGGCAATGTCTGTATTCAAATAATAAAGTTCCTGTCATCTATGAATTAGATAAAAAAAGAAAGAGGCTGTTTCATTGTCAGTTCTAAAGTCTGACAGCTACTCAGAAAGTATAGATGTACTTATTTAAGAACATGTGCTTTTGTCTCAGATATGCCATGCAACTGCATACACCAGCACTGGTATGCTGTGAAGTACTGCTGCATACTAATGGAGTTCGTTGCATCTTTCTAGGACAGCATCTGAGATGAGATAAAGAAACCACACTGCTCAAACAAAGGATAATTTACATTCTTATTACTTTGACCTCACTACTCTAGAGCCAAAGACTCCTGTGATCAGATTTGCTTGTCTTAAATCAATAATCGCTAAAATCTTCCTGTATCATCATACTGTTTTTACTGTTTGCTTATCACCCCTCCTGTGTAACTATGAGGACACCATAATTGTAACATTTTCAGTTCCTTGTTGTTAAGGACTTCTACTAGTGAGTGCACTGCTAGCTTCTCTTGGATCATGCCACATGCAGACATACAATATTCCAACCCAAACCCAGGTGTTTAAACTGTGCAGATATTCCATGCAGCTCTGCCAGGACTAACTATTTCAAACAAAGCCCAACTTGCTCCCATGAAATAGTTATAAGATGTTACACAGACATCTCCTAAATCAGTACAAGCTTTTCTGGTGCCATCAGTCGGAGTTAATAACATCCTTCCTTGCTGTAAGTACAGCTTGTTTTCTCTAAATCTACCATGTTATTCCACTATTTTCTGTCATAGTAGACGCTCTTTAAAGCTAAATATAAGAGGATTTCTGCATTATACAAAATGTGGGAAAAGGGGAACACCAGTAACCCTGTTTTGCTGATAAGGAACCAAAATATTAAGCACCTGTACATGGAAATAAGTGATGCAGAGAGTTTGAGAGCTGGGAACTAAAGTGAATATCCCTGGTTAGGACTTCAGCAGTTCCAAAGATACTGTTAAACAAGACAAACTAGCTTAAAACATTACCCTTTATCAGCTGTATGACAGTAACCCTCCTTCTCTGCTTCTTTACCCCTGCCCCTCTCTGGTAAGCTGGAAAACCTCTGCACCCCAAGATCTTCTTCCTCTATGGTCTCTGCAGCCTCTCCTGACCAACAGCACCATTATTTCCTGCTGCAGTGTCTGTGGGGTATTTTAAAATCCCTAGTCATAATTTCATAATTGTAGCAACTTGCCTTTTTTTTTTAACCTGGCCACTAAAGAAACCTTTTAGGAGATGTTGTTTTCACATGCCTTCCAATCAAAAGGAAATAGGTTTTCAGTACATAGGTCTAAGTAAGAATTAGCACAAAAGTGAGGATCTGTGGAAAACAGAAATTCCCTCTGTATTGCCCACGTCATTCCTGTTCATCAGGCAAGGTCCTCTCATACACTCTCTAAAGACTCTGCACAGTATAGGGCCAGTGTGATTTGCAGGAATTTCATCAGTACCTTTCTTCAAGGTGCTGCATCCAGCTGGTCTGCTAACTTCCATCCTGACGAGTTTCTGGGGTCCCATCTAGGCAAGGCTTCCTACGCACACCTTGCAGAACTGCTCGTGACCTGCTATTCTTTCCATCTCCACTAGATGATCATGCAATTGCTTAATGAATATGCATGAAGCTGCCAGGAATGATGTATTTAACTTCAGTATGGGAATTCATCTATTTCCCTTATACTGTAATCTCATTTTATTATTCAATTTGTGTTATACCTGATCTAATTGTAACAGAACAAAGGACAGATTAGATTTCTTTTCCTTTCTGTCTCTCTCCCCCCTCTTTTCCTCTGGCTTTGTTTTTTCCCCTTCTCTCTCTCCAGCCATGCTTTACCTGCTGATCTTGCTCGTGGACAGCTGTCTGGTCATCCTCTCTGTATGAAGCAATACTATGGACTCTTTTCTTCCTATCGTCTTCCAGGATGTACCAAAGACACCCTCGTGGCGCAGAAAAGCAATGTAATGCCAGAACCAGAGCACATCATTGTTGCATGTAACAATCAGGTAAATGAGTTTTCCTTTTTTATACCTTTCTATATTTCTTAATTTGCTTAAATTCACTCCAGAAGAGCCTAATCTAATCTCTGTTCAGAAACGCAATTAGTGTTCTACATATGAACTCACTTCTTACCAAGCAGTTGCTGTCAATACTTCCAAAAGATGCTTCTGCAGCACTTTTGTCCTTAGCCCACACTATGTTCCAAGTACAGTGATGCAGAAAGGAATGTGGCAGAATTCATTTGCTTTCTCTTTCAAACAAAAATGTTTAATAAACAGAGAAGAAACCGCAGAGAAAAAGAACCTTATTAGAGTGCATTTGCTGGAAATGCTTTTCTCTTGACAGTCAAGTATTGGCACACAATGCATGGCATATCTAACAGCATCATATATATGCATGGCATGTGTACCGGGTGAGGGGGCCTAAGCTGTGCCTGAAGAAGTTAGCACAAGTGCAGGCAGAAGTAGTGAAACATTAGTGTGAATCTGCCACAACCACTAATTGCCATAGAGTGGCAGAGTACACTGGCTGGCAGAGTACCTCATAGCCAGCCTGACTATTTGCAGTACTGGAGCCATTCCTGCCAGCCCTCTTCAAATGAAGGGGTAGATGGCAGTGGTCCCTTTCCCAGGAAGTCCTGTTTGTCTCACCAGTGGGAAGTTCTCTAGATTCTCTAGGTTATTTTCAAACAAATAATACCCTGAAAATTATTTACACACTTCCTGTTTTATCTCTTCAGGGTTTTTAAAGCTTAATTCAAATAGCACATGTTTTGTTTGAACCAAACACACAATATAAATCCCCTATAGCAACTTACATTCGTGTAAAGACATAGGAGGGGTGACCTCTGGGTCAGTCCCCAGTGGTTTTGTGCTTCAATGCCTGCAGGCCTGGCTCTCCAGGCAGGACTTCAGCATCTCAACACCTACCCAGGTGACAGCAAAATGTTGAACCGCTAAGGGTCCAACCCACCTGTGAGTATTCTTCTGACTTCTTTTTTTGCAGTTTTTTGTTTTGGATGTTGTCATTAATTTCCGTCGTCTCAGTGAGGGAGATCTTTTCACTCAGTTACGAAAAATAGCCAAAATGGCAGAGAATGAAGAGGAAATGCTGCCTCCCATTGGCCTGTTGACAACAGATGGAAGAACAGAGTGGGCAGAGGCCAGGACGATCCTTATGAAAGGTTAGCAGCAGCAATCCCAGCTTTCTCTTCTTCATCACCTTCCTCCTCTTCCCCCTCACCATCATTGCCTTTCTGTGCTGGGGGCAAACATCGCAGCAAATATAGGACTGAATGTGCAACCTCACTGCTGAATTTTTCCAGCAGTAGGTAACTCATTGTGTAATTGTTCAGATGCGTGTTACCAGGGGAGCAGCAGATATGGCTTGACCCTTTGGCTGTGTGTGTTCAAGTGTTATGTCATGTAATAACTCTCACTCCATTCTCTGTTTTCATTCACATAAATTACATTACATCAGATTTTGTGATTTGTCTCTTTCTTCATATCCATTATGTAGCAACAGGAGTGATGTATCCTCTTAGCTTTTGGCAACTGTTAAACATTTTTCATCTTATCTAACAAAGACATCTACAAGTTAAACACCTATTGAATCTAGCTGTGTATTCTCCGTAGTCAATGGAGAAGGTACCAGGGCTGATTCAACCAAACCTTAAGTAATTACCTAGGAAAGACAACACCAGTTATTATCTGGAGATAGTTCTCTCTTCCAACAGGCAGCATTTAGTGGTCTCAGATTCTGGACTTTGAAACAGATGAAAATAAAGTGTGGGGTTAGTGACCTCTATCACATCACAACTTACATATTTCACTATGAAGCTAAGTGATGGAAACACCCTCTTTTTTCCATCTTACATGTCTTAAGGATTCACTTTTCCCTCCTGAAAGAAACGTTGACTCATCTCTATCTCCAGTCCAGCATTGCTACAGAAAATATTGCTGGTTTACCAATGCCCTGGAATATACAAGAGTTGCCAATAGTCTCCAAATACATTTACCATCCCTTTTCTTTTTCAAGTTTCTCTGTGGTTATAAAAACTTAGTACAGATAAACACACATACAGAGTCCTGGCCATTATTTCAGCAATATTATGTAGCACCAGTCTCATCTTTTGGCTTTCACCTCCTCTTCCCATCATTTCTTTTTAAGACAGGGCAAAAAGAAAGGTTCCTTATATTAATAAAAACTAAGGTAAACAACTAATCATTTATTTGCATGCCCTGCTTTTACGTAAAACAGCAAATGCCTTGAAACCTGCAGCAAAATCATCTTTTAAACCTACATCACCCTAATGAAAAAAATGAGCAAAAACTGGCAGAATCTTCTCTATACTGTTTCTAGATTGCCTGGCATTTGCCAAAATATTCATTTTAATCAGTAACCAAACCAATTAAGTTATGCAACTGAAAAAAAAAACCAGGTTCTGCACTAGCAAATGTCACACTACCATGATGTGAGACCTCTCTAATCTAAGCAGGAATCCCATCCCAGACTACTTGTATTAGCACAGCTTCCCTACATTGGCAAATGCATTGCTGTTACACATAGATACATGATCATTAACAGTCCTTTTTTCTTTCTTATCTGTGGTGGCAAAATGTTCATGCAACAATAACTAACAGAGGAAGAGAAAACCTGTGAAGCAGTGTGAGGTGAAAGGGGTCACTCCACAACTGTTCTGTACTGGGCAGGGCAAGAGAGGATGCTTTGGGATGGAGAAGACCTATACAGTGCTTTGCAGAGGCTATGAAGGAGATATATCCATGGGCCTGCATAGACCTACAAGTAGGTCATCTAGGTGAGAAAACTTCAAAGATACTGTCATAAACCCAGCTGTCAGTGGTCTGTGAGTACACTCAGTATTGTAACTGCCTTCAGGCTGCAGAATTAACTCACTCTTCCTAAATACAGGAAGTGGATTCTTACTGCTATAGGGGCTGCAGTCCCATGCATAGTATATCTGCATTTGATTCAAAACAGTCTTCTCATATTTTCCTTTTTAAAACTGGAACCAAAACCCCCAACTAACCAAGGGCTGACCAGCCAATTCAATGCAATGATGCATTAGAAAGAAAGAAGGACAAAAAATGTCTTGCAGGTCTTTAGACTTGTTCTCACACTTCTCTGTTTCACCTTTTCCTGGAAATATTTCTTTTCCATCCCAAGTCATGGTTCATGACTTCTTGTGCAATTTATTGCCTGCTTCATGTTATAATTTTTTCAGTGTTTGATCAGCTCTCTGGACACGTCTGTTTCCTTCTGTAAAGGCATCTTTCCCCTACTTTTCTGTTTCTAGCAGAGCTTAATTTTATTCACTCTAATACCTAGACTCCAGCTACCCTGAAGCCATATGTCAGAATAAGGTCTTCATAGCTGTCAAAGATGTGTGGGCAGCAGCCACAATGAAATATACACAAACCTATCAAACAGTGTAAAGCAGAATGCTGAGCAAGCTGTGAGCAGTTTGTAAATCACTATTCAAGTTGGTTTTCCTTGAAGGTGCCTCTCTGCAAACACCAGAAGCTGATGCATACAGGGCAACTTCCATTCACAAGGAAGGTGCATTGATCAGCCTTTGCATTGATGTATCCAGACCATCAATGGAATAAATACCATAATTACACTCAACTAGAAGAGCTTTACAGCCAAGAGGTCAGGGACATGCCATCTTCCTTATAAAGCTTCAGAATGCTTTTGAAGACAATTTCTAGGGTGTTTCATGTGTTGTAGGGCAGCACAGATCACTGGCTTTCACTCAACTTGTCTGCATGCCCCATCAAATACAATCTCCTGGCTCAAGTCTTTGTAGGGGCTGACAGGCACTCCAGGTGCCTTTTCTAGGACTCTGTGGGCAAGGGAAGACAACTATGTGCTCCACCAGGTCCTCACGCAGCCTGCAAGAAGTCAGTCTGACCATCTCTGTCACTTGGGCCCATGGCTGCTAATATTCCCTTGCAGGAGCCACCTGCAATAGACAGCAATAGACAGTACCTTACTGCAACCCACAAAAGGCCACAGCTCCTCCTCTTCCTTCTCACCCACTGCCTCTCTTTCTCTTGACACCTTTTTAACTTCTTGCATATTTGCATTCTTTTTTACTACACAGCATTTGGAGAATGAACCTGGATGATAACAAGCATATGGGTTTTTTTCTAGCTCCTCACTAACCTATGTTACACATTTTGGGAAGGTTCATATTTTCTTACTTTGAAACATGCTGTTCTTTCAAAGGATCAACCTACTTTCCATATCTGCAAACCTTAAAAACATGCACATATTAAAATGGCTCCATATTTCAAATGCAAATCAGAATTGTTTAAATATATTTTTCATTCTTTCAGCTAAAATCATCTCCTGAATTGAGCACAGATTTGTTGAACTTAGCACAGACTGGAAAGAAGGTTTGATCAATCTGAATTCATATCTTTAGTTAACAACATTCTGAGACAAAAATGTTTTAACCCAAAATCTAGCAAAACAGCAGATGAAAGCTGATTTGTTAAGAATGGAAGGAGTTTTAAGTTGATGTTTGAAAGCTCTTTATCCTTTAATAGTGTTAACAACCATATAGCAGCAATTAACAATGTTATATGCTTTTTAATAAAACAAGTTCATGTTATAGGTTCTACACTTTTATCCTTTCAGTTAAGCACTGTATTAACTGCTCATAATTAGATACTTTCTATGCCTCAAACTGATCCTTCACAAAATTTCTGAGTTAGATAAAGAATCTGAGAAAAAAAACCCACATAAATACACCATAAATAAAGAGGAAAGTGCTGAGGAAAATGTAGAAACAGCCTCAGGAGTCCAACTGTATAAACAAGAGTGTCAGGATAGGGAAAAATATGGAAAGATAACCAGAAAAAGCCCATTTTATTCAGCAGTACACCAGTGAGTGAAGTGGAATGTGGCAACCCATATTTTTGGCAAAACCATGTTAAAAAACTAAACCTCACAACCTCACTCACAGATGTTCACTCGTGATGTAGGCAATGTAACTAGTCCAGGGCTTATTTCTCTAAAGTACAAGAAACGACCAGGGACAGGAGAGAGAAGATAACATAAAACCAACATGGGCCCTGCTGTTCCTTGTTCTGAAAATGGTTTTAACGGGAAAACAGCACAAAACCAGGATAAGCCCTGCTGTTCCAGAGCAGAATACTGCAGCAGTAGTGTGAGCCCTGAAATTTTCTGGTTTCCACCTGTCCTCTCTGTAACTGTTATGTATAAAATAAGTAAGCATTGCTGGCTTTGAGAGTAAAATAGATCTATTTTGTAATATAATTACTTCAGGAAATGAAAGGCAGAAAAAGAAAGTAGATATTATTGAATCATGTGAAAGATACATAGAGATATTACAAAAGTTAGCACATGAATTAATGCCTTGGTATAACATTTCCTTGCACTGAGATATTCTGCTGTTGTGAGAAGTCTGCAGACATGAGCTCATTGCAGTCAGGGTCAGATGTTCAATGCTCTCCAAGGCAGTAGGGTTCCCCAGCCAGTCCTGCACTTACAGGTAAGAGGATGCAAACATTTCACTCCTTCATCCACAGACTCTACTAACCGCGACTCTCTTGACATGATTGAACGGTGCATATGCCTGGTGTGCCTGGACAGCCCAAGTGGGGTGGAACTCAATGATACAAACATGGCATTGCAACTGCTACATGGAGGTGGCTACCATAAAAATGGGGCTAATCGTTGGTATGACAAACCTATGCAGGTAAAAACCTTATGGTACTATGATTTTACTTGCACGTGGCAAAGAACTCCAATTGCATTATAGTAGTTACCACTTAGAATCAAGTGAGAGAAAGAGGGGAAGGTTGTATCAGCATCTGCCCAGGCAAGGTTGGCATGAGCAAGGCAGTGCCTTGCAGGGCAGGGGGAGCAGACCTGCTGCCTTGCTGGCAGCATCAGGACCTTCTCCAGCACAGATATGCTTTCCCCTGTTCTGAAGCTGCCCTTTGAACTTGAGGAGGTAAGACAGCTACAAAGAAGTATGGGGAGATAAACATCTGATATAAAAGAAGAAAAAAGAATGCATTTTATTACATTCAATCAAATGAAATAAAAATGCTGGACTAGCATCCCAGAACAAAAACAGAAAAGCACAATTTTTTTCTGTTTTCTTTTCTTACACATTTTCCTGACGTCCTAGAAATACTACTGCTTATAATTTAGCATCTGTTTAAGTCCTCACTTAACAGATTGTTTGCACATTTAATGACACTCTTGTTGAGACTTTCCTGGAAGTATTGACTTCTCCAGCCCTTTTCCCAATCAGATTTTGATTGTCATAGTTGAAAGTGCCGTGCTGTTATTTTGACATTTTGCAATAGACCCAGTGTGAAGCAGTGTAATAATCTCCTACTGTCAACAATGCTGACACCTCATGAAAAATTGTAAAAACCCCTGACCAATACATTGCTTGCATAATGCTTGTTGCTCTTGCCATATCTAAGAACAGCAACATGGAAAGAGAAGCCACTGAAATAATTTAACTTGCACTTATTTACCCCAGTGCAAATACATTTCAGTAGTCACTCCTGATTTATGCCAGTGCAAATGATGTTAATTACCAGGTTCCAGTGCTGTTTTAGTAGAACAAACCATTTGTCTTTAGTTAGAATCCTGTTATTTACAGGGTCACTGGTTGATATGTTTCAAGCAGATGAGAATAAACAAGATTTTCATTTTGTTTACTATCATAAGGTAGCAGAAACCAAATAAAATTGTGTAGTATGTGGGAGTGCTTCATCTATCCAGATGTATTCAGGCCAGAAGTATTTCAAAGGTGAAGAGAAATTCTTAGGGAAATAAGATCCTATTTTCTTTCATGCAAATGCAGATTATGTAGGAAGCCATTCTCACAGCAGAATATGTTCTTTGTCTCCCTATTCTTCTTAACCTTTGCAGTAAGACACCAGAAAATGTCCAGGTGAACTTTTTGCTTCGTGCACACACTCCATGAAAACCTCATGGAAAGCAGGGAAGCGGGATGCCTACGTGTGATGTAGAGTGAGCTGAGTGGGAGGAGTCCACCCAAATACAGTGCTAAAGAAGTGCAGGAAAAAGTCCAGAAAACAGACAGGAAACATGTGAGACAAGTTGCAGTATTGTCTGAGACATCTGCTTTTGTTTGAGATGCAGAAGTAACCAACTGCACGAGGGTATCACAGAACTAGATTGTCACCAGCTATGCCATGTGCACACAGTAAAGTACAGAATGAAGATAAGTCAGTGGGAAATGAAGAAAGCACCTCAAAAAAGAGGTTATCAAAACAAGCTATGAGGAAGCTATAAAATAAGGATGAACTTGCTCATTTGATGTAGTATTTGTAATAAAATGGGATCCTAAAGGATTTCCCAGATATAGAAGTTGCCATTGCCTCTAAAATGTGGAAGGAGAACCCTGGCCTGTCTTTCTGTTGATGGGGTATCTGTACCATAAAGCAGATGCTAAATTAAATTCTCAGACTCCAATGGGGATTGCTAAAATTTACATTCTCACAGGACTTAGTCTGAAATAGCAGCGTGAAAGGGATTCAGTGCAGTGCCTTTCACAGGACAAGAAATCTCTTGTGATAAGTCTCTAAGTTACCCACTGATCTGTAAGGCAAGGAAATTCCTGGTATGAGCAATAAGAAAACTACAGGAGAACAATAACAACTTTGTTAGGTTGGCATCATTGCTAACTTACCCAGAACATGATTTCTTCCCTGTCTATCTTGCATTTGTTCTTTTTCTTGTTTAGTTTGTGGTAGGAAGAGATGGAATCTGTGGTACCGTGTGTGAACATTCTGCTTTCGATGGCATCGTACTGGTGCAGTGCACTGAACACTTGCTCAAGCACATGTGAGTTCCCTTTCAGTACAGCTTTTGTACCCACTCCAGCTCCCAGGAAGCCTCTGACAATGGCAAATTCCCCCTGAAGCACAAGGCCACTAAGGCCCATAAAACAGTTGGAAACCAGTGATTCACCTGCTAAAAATGCAGTGTTTAACAAGTAGATTATTCCTGTGACCTTAATGACTTCTGTCTCACATACTAACAGGAAAGAAAGTTCCAAGAAATTAGTCCGAGCTGATTCAGTGAGTGAGCTTCCTGCTCCACGGAGACTAAGATGGAAATGTTCCCCTGAAATTCAGACGCATTTGGCATCATCAGCAGAAAAACTCCAAAGGTAGAACAGATGCCTCATTTTTCTCAACAGCGACTGCAAGCTGGGAACTACCCAGCACATTGTGTGCAGGCATGGGTTTCCTCCTAGAAGGCTTCCTGCCCTCCTGCTCCTCCTCATCTTCCCAAGCTGGACATGTCTAGCATCTCTTTGAAGGATGTGACCCTTATGGGCTGTGGAGCTGCATCACTGTATTCAGAAATTGCAGTACCATTGTTTTCCTTCCTTGCAATTATTAGAAAAACTAAAAAGCACTGGAATAACAGTTTAGTTCTGTAATTATTAGGAAAACTAGAAAGCACTGGAATAACAGTTTAGTTCTGTTTGCACAGGATGCAAACAATGCAGGTCCTGTGTTTATGTGGCTGTCCTTTATGGGCTTTGACTGACTCATGCTGAAGCCAAGGCAATAGAGGGATACATATTTGGGACAGTAAAATACAACTGGTTTGATTAAACAATTTGAATTCAGGAATGTAATTTCTTTACATTCACATTGCTCCTGCAAAGGCCAGTTCTTCTGACTGTGTTTCCTGGCTGTAGAAGATTTGCATGATCTTTGGGGGTGGGGATGGCAATGAGCCCTGTGATCTCTCTGTAGAGAATTAACACATTGTATGCATGATCGACTATAAGTATGTCCTGTGTGTTTGCATGACATAAGACCTGAGAGTGGCTAAAAGCATGCATTAGAGTGTGAGAATATTCAGGATGCAGAGTAATGTGTTTTTGTTTTTTAATAAAAGGAGCAGTCCTCGAAGCTGAAACTAGCAAGGAGCTTACAGCCTTCTTCACATTTTGAATGCACCCATTTCTCACACTCCTAAATCTGTCAGAAATTGGTCAAGAACAGAGGAAGCCCTCACTTAGGCTTCAGGGGTAGAAACACTAGGGTTGTGGGGGTTTTTTTGTTGGGTTTGTTAAAAAGAAGGTGCGTTACTCAAATGAACAGAATTATTTGAGTGCCACAGCTCATGTTAAGAATGCAGATTAAAAGACTGGTGTAGAACCTGTATGAATAAAAGTTACTGACTAGAAACAAGCTACCAAAGGCCAGGACTGTCTGCAGAGCAGGAGAGCAGGTGCCTATTCACCTCCAACTGGGTATAGGCAGGAAAAGATCTCTGTGTTTTATTTGCAAGCAGAAATGAAACATGATATGGTTTAGTGGTGAACAAGGTAGTGCTAGGCTTGTGGTTGGACCTGATGATCTTTAGAGTTCTTTTCCAAACTTAACAATCCTTGTGAGATTCTTGCACCTCCCCCTGCAGTAACTGTCTTTGCTTGTTTTCCAGGATAGTGAAAAATCTGGATTTTATTGCCTACAAGTTTGAGCACTATGGAAAGGAATTTATTAAGAAACAAAAGGTTAGCCCAGATGCCTACATTCAAGTAGCACTTCAGCTGGCATTCTACAGGTAAGGGTAATTCAAGTCACAGGAACAAGGTTGCACGAGAATTTGGAGGTTTTTTTATACAGAGGGTCCATTTTTTCCTCAGCACTCAAACAAATGCCTCCTGCATGGAAATGGGTGATCTTGTCTAATGGCTGTAGGACAGACAAGATAGAAACTGACACCCAGTTCTGACACAGAGTACTCCTTCACTCCCTTTTCCTCATCTTGCTCTACCTTCCCATCCCTGTGTCCCACACATGCCATTCCCAGCCAGTACCCTTCCCACAGCTGTGCTTGGCATAGAGAAGAGGGTGAGGGGACATGGCAGGGAGTAGTAGGGTTGTCTGTAGCAGCAGCTAGGGAGTCCAAGTCCCTGGGGCAGAAACACTCCATTGACACTGTGGGTAGCTTGGAAGGAACTGTGGCAGTAATGCATAGCTCACCACACATGAATCTCTTGCACCACAGGGTGAAAAACACTCAGAGCAGAATACTACAGCAGCATATCAGATCAGAGTTCCTACACAGGATAGTAACTACTGCTGCTTCCTTCTTCACAGGCATCCCAAGATTTGATAATATCCTCTAATTTCCATGGTATTATCAATGTTAAAAGCTGCTTTCTACATTGCCAGAACAGCTCATGCTCCAGGCTAGAGATCAGTTGCATTGTTTCCTGAAGAACAGTGTATTACACAAATAGTTCCTTATCATGTCAAATTAAATCCCAAAGTGGTCTTTACCTAGAGAAAACCAGAGATACCTAACACATTTCAAGCACTCCATTAACATCTGTTAGACATCCATTTGTGTATTCCATTCATCAAACTGCAACAATGACCTGGTCAAAGATTTTCATCTGGATCCCAGCCGTGATATAAATCCCATGTATGCAACAAAAGCCTTAGAGGGCAGTTGTGTTCTGAGACCTCCTGCTTCAACTGAAAGCCACCATAAGTCTCCCAAAGCAAGGAATAGTAGCTACATACCTGGACCTAAATTAAACAAGAGTCTTCACACTCTGTTCTAATTGCTCTGTGGGTTTTCATTCCAGCTCACAAATAGCACCCTTTTCCCCTTTTAGTTTTCTACTTTTCATTCAGACATCGAGTGCATTTTCTCTCATTTTAAATAAAACATATTTCAAGCCCATAAGTAAGTGATTAATTACACAATTATTTTATGATACAGTACAAATAAAACATTCCTTGAGATCTTTCAGTAAATTTTAGTTTTACTAGCCTTATTTTTACACAGCAAGTCATTTTTTACTGGCAGCGCATAACTAAAACACAGACAGCTGTATGCAGCTCCTCATATTAGAAAGGAGTGAGCATCCATCTTTTTTAAGTTTCTTATAGAATTCTATCAACATTAAGATGAATACTGTGCAAAAAAATAAAAGCGTGGCTGTAACAATAAAATACACCGAGCCTATATTTCTCTTAGTCTTTATGACTCCTTGAAAATAATTATTCTTTGTTATTCTTACTTCATTCTCTCAGATGCCACAGGAGACTTGTCCCAACCTATGAAAGTGCTTCCCTACGCCGGTTTGATGAGGGCCGAGTCGACAATATTAGGTCTGCTACCTCGGAAGCATTTGCTTTTGTAAAAGCAATGACTGATGACAAGACAGCTGTATCGGTATGCTGGTCTGGCTCCCTCTGTCTTCTTTGCCAAAACACTAAGCAAATAATGCATCAGTCTCTCACTTTTTCACTGAGAACGTAATGGCATAGGGCAGGGTAGCAAGCCTTACAGGATTTTGGTTTTTTGCAAGCCAACCATGAATCTAAATGTAAATACTTCCTTATTTTTATTTAGGCATCCAAAAGATTCAAATATGCCTAAACGTGACATTATAAGAAACAGAACATCTCATTTTAGATTTAGTACTGTCTTAAGAATGTTCCATAACCAATCACCACATTCAGCTTCCTAGAGAGATCTGGGCTGAGCATGCAAAGTTCAGAATCATTGTACTGCCACACCAGGGGAATTGCCTGGCAGGTCCCCTGCAGTAGTTAGCTCTGCTGCAGACTGCAATGTGTGAAGTGATGTCATTCCCATGCTTTGATTTCTGGATAAGGTGGATATGTTCTGCCTGGTCTTTTTTGTTTTAAAGGCATGTTTCTACCAAATAGAGTTGGTTTTATGGGATCCTCAAGGGAGCTGAACCTTAAGTATGAAAAACTTCATCAAGCTAATCAAACAGCTCTCCAAACTGTTCTGATATCATCCTGCAAAAAGAAAAATTAAAACTGCCTTTCTTTGAGACACCACCATCTGTTTGCCAGAAGCATGAGTTCTGTACACAGTAGATTGGGATTCAAAGAGACACAGCTGAGAGTATAGCTGCACAAACAGCATTGTGCACTGTCCCCCACACCATCCCTGGAGAGCCTCCCTCAATGTCTCTCCGTGTGCCACTTCCACCCACTACACTTCAGTGCTGTAAAGGGTATTTCCAGGTAGCTGTTTAGATGCAAAATGCTGCCACAATATAGATTATTTTTCACAGTAAGCCCACTCCAGTGGTAACAACCCACATGACTGTTCTTTAGAATTTAGCATGACATTGCTAGAAGCATTGCTGGGCTGTAGATTAAGTGCAAATTAATGAAATACTATAAACCAAGCTCTAAATGTCCCAGAGGATGAAGAAAATTTGCCCAGAGAAGTGCTCTGTTCATCCAGTGCTTCTTCAATCTCCTTAAGGTTGTAATGCCCAGAACTTACCTCTGGATGAACAAAACTCTAATATTTCCATGGTAAAATGATAACTCAAAAACACCTGAAGTAATTCCAGATGCAGATTGGGTAATTCACAGCAGATTATGACCATGCTATTACACATGATAGTGACTACATACAGTAGTGACTACCATACCGTAGACAAGAAGAGGCTATTGTTATTTGCTATCAGTGTCCTGTCTGACAGGATGTTCTTAATCATCTTTCTTTAGAAGTTATGGTCATCTGTGCACACCTTCCTCTCCACACTCAGCACTCAGCAAATCCCCAGCCCAAAGAAATATTGCAGCAGAATTACTGTACTCCTAGGAGGAACCAGCCTGCTCCGAGCATGGTGTTTCAACAGATCCTTCTTGTACCTTCCAACAATCTCTTCCTTTCTTCCTTATTCCAACACTTACTAACTTCTGCAGCTCTTCCAAGGCTTCAGCATTTCTCACCATTTTACCACCCAAATTGGAGATTGTGCTCACCTTTCATGGCACCCTAAACTGCACTGTTTCACACAAGCAAGTAGAAGAATGCCATGCGTGTCTAGATTGAGCTCAGTCTCAGCTCCTAAATCTTTATCCTGCATGCCTTGGAAGCACCCAGTGGGGACAATAAGGACAATTTGCCCTTGAAAACCTGCAATCATAATGCTGATCCACTGATAGTTTTCATGGCTTCTTATCCACCAAGAGATACAAAAGACATTCATACTGGTTTGTGGTTGTTCTTTCCAACAGACATTTAGAAATCTTTGTTTTGATGTGAACATCTTTCAGTTCAAAACTATATATTATTATCACAGAATCGTTAGAAACAAAATTAATTGAATACAACACTATTCCAAGGTGATTTCTTTAGACCTACAAATTACGTCTGGATGTGAAGGGGATAATTCTACTTTTTGGACAAAGAGCTGCATCACTTGGTTTAACTAGCCCTGAGCTCCCCAAAATATTGTTTGTTAACAGCCATTAATTCAAATCAAATTAAAAACCATTTCCCTTCTGATGCTAATAAAAATTATCCTCCAGCAATAGCTTGAACAGTCACCAAAGATTGATTGAGTCAGATTGATTTTTTAGCAGGAGAAATATCTCATGCATTTGACACTTACTGTAAAAGCAGCAGCTCCTGACACTACAGAGATTGCTTGAATAGCTATAAATTAATCAGATTTAAAGACTGCATTTGGTAATTTAATCTGTACAAGGGAACTAAGGACTAGCTCTAGCCCTATGAAAAAATACCAGACTCTGTACTCTGAAGGTCACTGATGGTGACCTTGAGTTGCTTCTAAAATGAATTCTTTGTTCAAAAGATCATTCATTGTCCATAGAAGCTGAAGGTCCCTGTTCATCTGGAAACCTAGTCACTTCTGGCTGTTTCAGGGTCTCCCAAAGTTGCAGTGTTGGGCTTGATGTACAACAGGGCAGCACTTCTTAGGATCATTCCGTTAATATAAAAGGCTGCTATTTGACAGGAATCAAAATTTACTGGCTTGTTATCTGAAATGTGAGGCATCTGTGGATTGTAGAGCAGCCTTGGAAAATTCTAGATGCCCTTTCACACATGCAAGTAATTTTTTTGACTGGCTAGTAAAATATCAGTAATGGCTTTCATCAATATGACTGTCATTGTCTAGGTAAGCCATCCTGGAGAAGATACACTGCCTGCCTGTTTTGAAAACACTGACTTACACTAGGCACATATTTTCCCTACTTCAAACAGAATGATTCAAGTAGCAATAATCTACACCCCCAAAATCCATGGAAGGAATCCACAAAAGGAACTGCAAGTCTTTCCTTGCCTTCAAACAAACCACCCCCAATAAACCTGTTCAGCCCTTGCATAACCAGGCACCGTTGCTGATCAGGACACCGATCCCTATGCCTCTCCATTTATAACACATACTTACACCTGAATCAGGAGCAAAGGACATTTGAGAGTGCTTGCTGTTTGGCTGTTGGTTAGTTGATGGAAGATGTTATTTTTTTGAGAGTTTATTCAATACTACATATATTTTGATTTCCTTCACAGGATTCTGAGAAGATGCAGAGATTGAAGGATGCAATTGCAGCTCAGACTAATTACACTATTCTGGTGAGTAAAACACTACCTGTATGAATGAGTCCTAGCTGTCTTTTTCAAGAAAAGTGTGATGATACAATCATTAACAATTTAAGCACTAGAAAAATGTAGATATCTCTAAATAGGAAAGTATATCACATTTATGAGCATTTCTAATGGCCCAAATAGCCCTATTCAGTTAACCTCACCTTAAAAAATACTTCCTCAAAAGCAAGACCACAGAATTCTGCATTAGACATAAGTGGAAAGACCATGACTCTTGGGCATTATCTCTCTTACGTAGCACTGTCATGGAACATGACACTCTGTATCCAACTTATTCACAGGGAATGTGCCTCTGTGAAACATTTATGATTTATGTCTGTGTCATAATTAGGAGTCCCAGCCACAAATTAGGATTGCATTTAGCTTGGTATTGTACAAATTAACAATTCAAAAACAGCCTTCATCTTAAAGAGCTTGCAATCAAAACTCAATGAGGGGATTTTTTAAAAATAAATATTGAAGGGTTTGCAAAAGCAAACAGTAGCCAGGTGAAATAAGTCTTTATGCTCTGTGCTCTGCGATTGGCCTGAAATGTTAGCCACAAAGAGAGCCAAGGAAAGTGGCAATGGGGTATTGTAATGGAGTATGGCAAGTGGACAGCAGAAAGCCTTATCAGGGATGAGGCATACACAAGACTTAATGCAACTGAACTGTTGTGTAATATGTGTGAGAAATAAAACTCCAACTGCAAAATCCAGGTCCCCCAAATTTACAGGTATTTAGACCCATAAGATATACCATTACAGCTAAGCTCAAGGCTGCTGTAACACATCAGGAAATTTTTTTTTTGCCCCCTAAAACTAACCATTTATGTATCTTCTTCTATTTCTCTTCACTGGAGGAGAGAGGTCCCTATCTGGGACTTGATCCTCAGATGGACTGGTATTCTGGAAAGTGCATTCTGGTATTCCAAAGTGCCTTTTTTAATAAAGGTCATTAACAATGAGGGAATGTTTATAGTAAGTTCTCTTTTAAAGACCTGAGTGCAGTGTCTAATAAAAGGAAGAGAGGCACTCCAGTGAAGAAATCATTTCAATATCAAATACAACTCATTTTTTGTTGATTGAAAATGAGAAAATTCAGCCTGGGTAATGCTCTACATCCCACTGTGCTAAGACAAAGCACAGACTTGTTCTACAAGCAACTTAGTCATACCACTCATGAAATTAATTAATATTAATCACCAGCTATGATAAGTGAATTTGCTACCTACAGTTTTGCCTCATACCATTGCCTAATAAACCAACATTGTTGATTACTGTTCAGATATTCATAACATCCAAGAAATCATTCACTTTCAGAGGTGATTGCAAAGGAAAACTCAGAGCACTGAGGAGGTGAAGTGTTGCTTTCAGGTAGGATCTGTTCCTAAAACTCTGAAACAAGAAAAGGGAAGAAAAACCATTCTGTGTTTCAAGCCTTGTGCTGGGAACCCACATCTTACAAGCTGAGACTCCATGTCATCTGTAAAGCGAAGAGAAATCTTACTTAGGGGCAGCTGTCTCACCTGAACTATCTCAGGGTAACCTCACAATGAGCACAACATGCTGTAGGTCTATTAGGTCACAACCAATAGAATTTTTGTACAACATCTCTTTAAAAAAAGAGGAAAAGAAAATCCATAAAATCTCCCCTCCGAGTCATTTCAGTTCCAGAAACTGTTACAAAATTCAGCCTCCAGTGTAGTCCCATAGGAAAATACTAAAACTGACACTGGAAAAATAATTTATCCTTAAATTTAAAAAGCTCTCCGGGTATTTCTACTCACCACGCTCCCCCTTCTTTCTCAGAATAGCAGAATGTAATTGTTGTGCCTTTAAACCCTGGGTAAGACTTAGCTGGTCTGACTAAATTGTGTGTAACAGACTGAAATGTAATCAGTCTTAAGAAAAACAAAAAATCTACTTCATAAAACAAAAAGCAATGTAATGATTTTATTTCCCCTCGTTAAGGCTTACTAGTAGCATTGCTATCTTAAATGTGGAGCTCTAAAATTCAATTTGGCACAGTTTTTTCCTATGCGTTGACTCACAGTTTATTTCGTTAGCCTGTCTCGGCCTCTCTTCAGACATGACATTGATCTATGTTGCAAAAATGTCATTGCTAACAGCCTTATAAATCTTGTGTGATAGCAAAATATTTCCTTTGATTATCAAGTCTGTTTCCCTGTATGGGAAAAAGAACATGCACACAGCCCTGATGTGTGCTACCTTTTTGCAAGCATCCTTGCTCTGTCTGGACTGATGAACAAATAGTCCCTTTACCTACCCTTACCTGGGTGCTAGTCCTTAATAAGCCAAACAAAACTATGCACTCCTGACCCCTTGCATCAGGCATTTATCAGTGGTGAAAATTATTCTCCTCGTAAGAGGAACAGCAAATTTGTGCTTTATTTTAAATTTATTTATTCATCCTTAAGAGGAAAACCTACGTTGTGTGCTTTTTGAAATCCTGCCTTCCTCACAGACTGCTCATTTCCCTTGTTACAAGGGGCCTGTGCCTCAGGGATATCAGTTCTGCTCTCAGTGTAGTAAAATGTCCCTGGTTCAGCATTCCCATCCTACATGACTTCAGCCTGGAACAGGGATGAGCTACAGCTCAGTCCACAAAATCAGTGCTCTCACCAGCGAGACCAAACCTAGACTGAAGGATTTTAAATGCACATATTCTCTGAGGCAATTCCTGCCTGGTTGGAACAAATTTTGATTTGGTTTCCTAAGGAAACAAAACTCTGTAACTATCCTGTCTGCTTGCCTCCCCCTGCTGACTTTTGATCCCATTAGCCATCTTCAGTCACATTTGCTAGCAGGGCAAAGATCTTCAAGCCAATAAATCCCTTAAGTCTACAGCATTAGGTAGCTGGACAGGGCAGAGACCCAAGCATAGCAAGCTGATGGCAGAAAGACTTATTACAGGCTCGGCAGCAGTTCTTGTGAGCCTGTCAGCAGGCCACCAGTGTGCCCCTGCTCTAATGTTCAGTCATCACAAGTGCTGCCCATCGTCTTGCCTGCGATTGCGAGACGGGCAAGGAAATTAGGGACATTGAGGAGCAGGGTCTGGGGGCAAATGTGGCTGATTCTGCACTGGAGAGTGTGGTGAGCACAGACACGGGCAAGTAGGATGGCAAGTAGGCTGCTGGAGGCCTCCTGCTTGTCAAGCACTTTATTTTCCTTTGTTAAACCCTATTTAATTTGATTCTATGCTGTCCTACACTTACTGTTTACAACTGCCTCATTGGAGTGAGTGCTAAAGTAATGGCTGCACCCAAGATAATGCTGCTCTGCAATGAAGCCAACACAGGGAGTGGTGGGAGGAGCTGGATATTTTGGCAGTGATTTAAATGGAGAGGACATCTGTGTCCCTAACCCCAGACTTCTCAAGCAGTTGTGTGTGCTAGCAGATCCATGACAGATCACTGGCAAATCTGTTATTCTGTGAGCACTGTTAAACCTGCTGCAGACATCTACTAGATCTTTGGAAGTAAATTCTATGGAATGACATTTGCCTTACATGCCAGAGTGAGACACAGGCAGCAAGGCAGTGAAAGATTAATTTGTTCCAATTTGGAGGTGTTTTGGAGCCTCCTATAATATAGGAAATTGAAATATAATTATATTAAAATATAGTTCAAATGATGCACAGAAAATTCCAAAACATACTTAGAGATTTCTAATGTCCCATGTGCTCCCCTCAGCATTTTTGAAAGCCTAGCCCATGATATTCAGCTCTGAGAGACAATGAACACCCAGATAACATCAGCACACAGTACATCTCAAGACTGTCTCCTTCCTAATTTTTACAGCTTCGGAGCCCCATATGAATTTCTAGTTACTGATCATCAGCAAAGTACATACCCAGAGTCATGTCTGAACATTACAGGCATTACATCACTCAAACCAAGTTCATCAGCTCTGACCAGAAAACTAGGCAGTAACAGTTGGGAAAATGTCTCCAAAGTCAGTTAAATGCTGGTGTCTTATCACATTGTACACAGGCTATTACTGGAATGGCAATAGACAATCACCTGCTAGGGCTTAGAGAGGTGGCACGGGAACACTTCAAGGAACTTCCAGAGATCTTTACAGATGAGACATATTTGACAAGCAATCGATTCATCCTCTCGACCAGCCAGGTGAGTTCCTCTGTTCATTGGTCCTGCTAAGCAAAGGCTAATTCATTTGTGTTCTGCCAGACTTTGTAGCTCACAGTGAGAACAATGTAAAAACAGAAAAACAAACACCAAGAAATCTGCAAATTACTCCAGATTTTTAATCCAATTTTGATTCATCAGCACAGTAAATCAGCAACATCAGCACACTAAATACTGACTTCACTTGCAACATCTCAAAGCCCTTCCCAGAAATTCTGAAATGCACACAAACTCAGTAAAATTCATGTGAGGGCTCAGAGCATCCTCAATTTCCAAGCTACATATCCTCCCACTCCCTTTCTTCTCCTCCTTCCCCTAGGGTGACAGCTCTAGTGGGAAGGCTTTACTCCAGTGACAGTACAGCCACAAGTCAGACAGGCTGCCAGTCTGCAAAACAAAAAGCCAAGAACCATGAGGAAATTTTAATCTTAAATGTAGCTGTGTTTGAAATCTTTGAGAGCCTTCAGTTATTCGCTGTAAGACTGCAACCCATGCAGGCATACAACTTAGATTTACAGACATTTAGGCACATATAGACATTTATGCATTTACAGTTATTTGCATGTACAAAGATACTCTAAGAGTCAACACTTCCTACATTTAATGTTCTTGATAAGGAGCATCTTTATGGCATACAGCCTAAAAAATTAAATGTTTCATTGCATGTAGTAGCAGTCGTAATGAAAGAAGAAATCTATGTAGGAATTCATTAGCTGAAACACAAACCCAACGGCACAGATTGGAACTAGGCAATGAAAGAGACTTATAATATCATGCTAAGCATAAAACCTTAACAAGTAATTTGATCATGTCGTAATGTTTGTAGGTTTTCAGACATGAGTGAAAGTAACAAACATACCTCTACATAAATTCTCCAAGAAACTATCCATGAGCAAAGAATAGCTTCTGAATAGCTTTATGGCCTTCGGCTGTTGCACAGCAAATTTATCTGACAATTCTATGGCTCTATTAGCAGGACTAATGGCTTGTTCTACACCATTAAAAAGCCAAATGTCATTTGTGAAGGCCCATGTACACAAAGTTTGAAACATAAAGATTTCTAACACATCTCTTGTTTTCTGCAAAAGAAAGTGTTTCACTTCTGTATTACGCCACGATTGAATTTGGGTGTAGTAGAAATACAGCATCTAGATGCTTTAAAATGTTTTGATACAGCATCACAATTATAAACTATTATTAGAAATGGACACTACTAATTTCTATAATTTAATGCAGTCTTCACGTTACAAATTTAACAAAACCTTAAGATAACCTTAAGAAATTAAAAACCTTAGAGAAGTTTTATGTATCAAAATTATGTAAAATTCATATCAGTAACAAAGCTTACAGCTTTTAAACATCTATGTAAATTGAGCAAAAATATATGTTATATTCTCCACTTCAAATGATACCAGTTTTTAAAATGTAGCAAACAAACAGAGCAACCAAATTCTACACTGAGATCACCTTTTACTTTCCATGTAAATCAGCTCCAGGTCTGGATTTCTGAAGGTAGTGATACTCCACAAGGAGGGATTCACTCATTACCAGCATTTGTTTATCTTTTTCCTCGTTCCTAACCAGCTGATTCCAGGTGCCCTGATTAATCAGAGATCACTCCTTCCCTTCTTCCTGCAACCAGGTTCCAACTACTATGGAAATGTTCTGCTGCTATGGGCCCGTGGTGCCTAATGGATATGGGGCATGTTATAACCCTCAGCCAGAGCATATATTATTCTGCATCTCAAGTTTTAAAGACTGTAAAGAAACCTCCTCTGGCATGTTTTCAAAAGCTGTGGAAGAAAGTCTCCTAGCAATGAGAGATCTGTGCAACAAATGCAATTCTACTACAGCAAAGCCACTTGCTAAACAAGATGCAGCCACAAAGCTGCAGAGTGACCACCAACGCTAAGAAGCTGTGGGAATTATTCTCCTGGATCCACCTTATTAATAAACATGACATAGTTGTTCAAAGGCAAGATAGTGCTAGTAATATAATAGCATAGAACCAAAGTGTCATTAGATTCTCATTGTTGCCAACATTTACAACTCTATGTACTAAATCTACCATTTCTCACTTAAGGCTTTGCAAAACCTGTTTGGTCTCACTGGCTGAAATGAAGGAGGAAGTAATACAAGTTTCTGCTATACTACCACTGCTAACAATAATTAACTTATGCCATTTTATCACCTAAAAAATGGAGTAAGTTCATATATGGCGTAAATTAAATACTAAGGCACACCAATTAATATCCCCTGCAAGTAGTTCTAAAATATTCACATCTATTCCTGCAAGATTTACATGTAAAGAAAAAAATTTCCCCTATTGGGAATTTTGAGAGTAACACTGTAAATACTAGGCTGATGCCATTATATCTTGAACATTTGCATGAAGAGTATTTAATACCACCAGTCTACTTATACATAAGAAAACAAGCTTATTTTTAGGAGTGGCCACTGTGTATTTCCACAAACAGAGCTTAGGAAGATTACACTAGTGTACAGCTTATTTTTTGGAGTGGCCACTGTGTATTTCCACAGACAGAGCTTAGGAAGATTACACTAGTGTTTGCATGTTCCCCCCAATTCAAAAATGCTGCAGAAATAATTTGCTTTATCCTGGTTTCCACTGGCCTCAAGCACAGTCCCATTCTGAAAGCAGCATATTGGAGACAAGATCCATCACAGAGAACTGGGAGAATTTTGTCTGTAATGAATTGACTTAATTATTTGTTTCTATGAGTGAGCAAAATCTAGTCTAACAGAGTGGCAAAGCACAAAGCATAAGTACTATTCAACTATCCTACTTAAGACCTTTTCTGTTTGCATGGGAATGAATTTAGTCACTGTGACTAGCAGGAGAGTGTATGCAACCACAAAATAATCAAAGAGCAATAACTAGAATGAAGAGGCAAATTTGCAATATAAGGAAGTCTTCAAGTTAGAGCTATATATATCAGTTTAAGAGTACTGGTATTCATATCAGCTTTGCATCATCCCATTTGAGAGGGATTTATATTTTATATTTTTAATAGCAGTTGTAGGGTATCATATTCTGCAATATACAGTAAATTTGATCAGGAAAATAATATAGCATCTGGTAATTCCCCTATTCTGTATTATCCTGAGGGTTTTCTCATTATCTCTTTCATTGCCTACAAATCCTTCCAAGGAGTGATACTTTCAGTTGCTTTCTCTCAAGCTGAAATATGTTGCCTTGCTTAAAGGTGTTCAGTTATCATTGTTAGAATACAACTTACTAAAGATACCTACTTACTAATTCCAGCATGGATCCCTTGCTAAGCAAGCTGGAGCACACTCAGAGGCTTGGCCAGGGATTGCTTACTTGCCTGTGGAGAGGTGGAGATGTATTTTCTTCCTTTGCAGGCTGAACAATCATATGCTTAAGCACTCTCAAGCCTAAAAGTAGGAGAACAGATTAATTACAATAAACTAGAGATGCAGATATGTTTCTGGTTAAGAACTCCAGGTAAAATTGGAGTTGCAGGCATGCAATTAAGCAGTCTGCTGGATAAAGGATATCCACAACCCCAGATGTCAAAGCACAGTGGACCTGATAATCAACTGGAGCAAGTCAGCTATGTTGGAGTAAATCAGCTGTAATGATGTACAGACACTAAGAGCTGGGGTTTTTCAAAGTTATTATGTTTTGCTTAAAATATATATTTTTCATTACTCCGTGAGCTTTGGTTCAAGTCAAAGATGAAATCTATTTTTAGATTACATAAATAATATTATGACATAAAAGCTGCCCCAAAGTTCTCATAGAATGGTTTAAGTTGGAAGGGA